AGTCAGTGTTGCACTGTGAGCATGTGACTGATGGGCAAATAACCCTCAGCGTCTTCCCTATACAGTGTTTGGCCTTCTCACAAGCCACTGAAGTCCTAGAACCTGCTGCTGTGACCTGAAGCTGCCTGTGGCAGGCTGTGCTGGGGTGGTGCAACAAGCTGAAGGCTTTGTGCCCCAGCAGTTAGGAGACAACACTCCAGCTCAGAACTAGCAGTAAAGCCAACCCAGGAATACCAAGCAAAACCCTCTTCAGGAACTCTACTCAAACTCCTTTGAAAATACATCATCTAATTTGTAGGTATAAGGTGTGTGCCAGCCTATCAAACCCTGTGCTCTACTAATACCAAAATCACATCTCCATAACTTCAGATTTCAGACCTCACCTGTGAAGAGTCCGAGCACTGTGCTGTGAAGGTATTTAATCTTTTGTGTTAATGAACAGAGCAGTCATATGTTCAGGGTGTGACTTGCTCCATGTGGATGTATGGTTGTGTGTGCTCACAGCCACTCCTGGCTCTGTGGGGCAGCTTTTCTACTCCAGAGCCCTGTCAGGAGCTGCACAGACACCAAGTGAATGAGCAGCAGCAGCATTATTCTGAAAGCGAAGTCTTGTTTCACCTTTTCCTCTGGAAGGTAAAGTGATGTTTCCCAGATATAATCTCTTATTATCTAAAAACATTAAGCCAGGAGTTTGATATAGTACCTCCAAAAAGAAAAAGCAGACCCGTCATTAGAAGCAGTAGGTAGGCCCTGGCAAGAATACTGATGAATCCAGTCATTCCTCCAAAAATCATCAATATCAGGCTGAGGGGCATCAGGATGACAAATGTCCCATGCATGTCTGAAGAAAAATGGAGAATGTTAGTATCATAATGTTTTACTGTGGTGTCACTGGATAATTAATAATTAATAACTTGTAATCAATCATTATTGAGAGCAGGGCCCCTAATCAGGATCAAAGCCTTTTTCTGTGCAGCACGAACAAGGAGCTGACCTATCTCTGGGGTTCTCGGTTTAAGTAGGCAGGACACATACACGATATGGAGAAAAAGGCATCACTCAGAGGGAGCCCTTTACAGACTGTGCTTCAGAGACTGTGACGTTAAAGGATACGTCTACGTGGACATGTTTAAGCAATAAATCTGTTCCCAGGTATTAAACCTAGCTGGCTAGCAGGTGATGCATTGCATCTGGTAGTCACTAGCAACCTTAATAAAAAGCAGTCAGGTTATCTAAATCATACCTATCATAGTGAGTGGCATTGTTCTGTTTGGCTGGTGAAGTCTAGCAGATGCTTTGCTTAAATGCTTTCTTTTCTGTCACACCATCTGCTGATCTACCAAACTGTTGACCTTTTCCTCTGTTGCAGCAGAACAAGAAGTAGAGGCAAATTTCCCTACCCAGCTCTCATTCTGTCTGTCGTTGTTTTCTTCAGCAGCTTCACTAAGGACATTAGCCTCTGCTGGTTTATTTCCTCCTATGCTAAATGTTTTACATTAGTCCTTATTGATCCCTATAACGTTTGAATAGCTGTGTAAACAGAGGGTTGCTATGTATTTTTCATATCATGCTGTTTTTCCATTATAAACCATCTTTGTCTCATTCTCTCTCATGCAATCTATTCACAGTGTTCAACCCTACCTTTCCTAGAATAATAACAAAAAATCAAGTAAATGCAGTTTCCAGCATCCACTTACTTTATACCTGAATAGAGAAGATTTACTGAGAAAGGAAACCTACATTCCATTTTCTGAGGGGTTCTGGGCTTCAGTGACTTACTTAATTTCACAGATAAATAACAATACAACATTAGCTAGTTCCCAAGGAAAATGAGTCAGAAGATCAGAGGTTGTGTGTAATCAGATCATTTTTTTTAAGTGTCTGTAATTCCTGCTTAAGTGGAGGTACACCACTTGTCACTGGGTAAGAAGCCAGCTTATCCTCTTCAGTATAATTGTAATGATTGCACACAGTCAGGGATCAACTTGTGTTGCTTCTGTGTTTGTTCTTTCAATTAGTTAGTTCAGTCTGTGTCTTTGGAGCTGTGACTCGTGAGTGATGCTCAGAACTGCAACACCCACTTGACTTTGATAATTAGGTAAGGATTTGTTATTACCTCATTAATATAGGTATTTGTTCCTCCTTACCTTCTGTATAAAGAAGAAAAATCTGCAAATTGCAAATTTGAATGGGAGTAACTTATTCATCTTATTCCTCATTTGTACTACTGTAAAGTCACTGAAGCGAGTTGGAGAATGTCTGTGTAAACAAAACTGAATCTGCTCTAAGACTAATTAAAAAATGTAACTTGGTTCAGTTCTAGAACAAAGCTGCTCTTTCAGTCATCTTGATGGTGCCTTGTAATGTGTCAAGGACTTAGCTGTTTATCTCTTAATGGTTGAAGCATCCTCTCAAATATTCCCAGTGAGTTAACGAAACATATTGAGGCAAAGTACTAGATTACTCTGATCAAACATAGCAAGGTGTTTTTTTTTTGTTGTTGGTTGGTTGGTGGTTGTTGTTGTTTTGTGTAAGAAAGTCCTGGTAGTTTTGGTCATTATTTGTTGTAGCTTGGACTTTCTTTGTCCTGATGAGTGGAGAAAAGGAAAAATCTCAAGCAAATGTGATGAAAAAAGAGCAATCTGCCTCAGCTAGAAGATGCACCAAGCACTAGAGATAAATGAAAAGATGGCTCAAGGGAAGCCAGAAATAAAACTGTAACAAAAGCAAGAAAGATAGCATTCAGTTTTACAATGAACTGGCAATGAAATATTGTGACCTACTAGAAAGCTTAGATTCTCTTTGGAAAGCATGATGTGAGTTCTGGTTACTCTGGTGTTCTGGAGACCCCAAGTTATGCTCAGGGAGACCTTGGAAGGCTCGGAAGAGCCAGCATGGGAACAGGGCAGACACCTCATTTCTTCACTTGAGTGGAATGTGGTCTCAAGACATAACTAGTCATTTTGTGTCGTACGTGACATGCTCCCAAGGAAAAATGTTGCACATGACAGTTTTGGGAGGTCACCCTTTTGTTCCTCCATTTCCTTTCATTTATGCTGGAATTAGTTTCTGGTATTAAATGAGCCCGACGCAGCCCTACATTGGTATCAGTTGATGTCCAGGAAGCAGGAATTCAGCATTCTGTGCAGAAGGGAGCTCTTTCTCTCTTTGCTTCTAACTCTGGGGATACTGCCTGGGCTTTCCTTCAGCAAAACTGGCCCATGGCTGATGTTGATGACGTGGAAACACAAACCTGCAGGAGTTCTCAGGTGCTAAGTTTCAAATCAGCATTCAGCTCACTGCGTATAAATCAGAATGTCAAAGCTGTTGGCAAAAGGAGGAATAGGCACAGAACTTGGCCCAGAAGTTTTACATAGTCAGAGTAGTTGTCAGGCACACGATGCAATGTGACATGACAGAACAGAGGTTTGGTACACAATTGAGTTCTCATTTGCTACCGAGGCAGCAGGAACAGGCTCGTCTTCTGCCCTGGGTGTGCTTCCTGAGGGTATTAGGCCTGATTTTGATCTTTCACCTTCCTGATATCTATGTGTCCTCTTGGCTGTAGTAATACTAGTCTTGTGGGTAAGAGGTGAGAAGGGGTTGGAGGAATGAAAGCTGATGCAATTAACATTAAAAAGTATGAACAGTGCAACTGTCCCTAGGCCTGGCTTTGGTGGGAGGGTAGCCATGACAACACGCTCACCACAGGGCCTGTGCTTTGTCATGTCCCTCACCAGTCCCTCACCAGTCCCTCACCGCTACCAAACCACTCCTCAGGACAGAAGTACTGACAACTGCTCGTTCTTTGACTTTCCTTTCCATGGTGTGATTGCAGCTTCTGCAGCTGGGACTGTAACCTTAGCTAGGACAAGTGCAGGTGATCAGGCCCCGAGTGTCTTCTTTTGAACCAAAGGGAGAACAAACCCATACCCCAGACTGTTATCCTGGGGAGTGTCATTAACTGCATTACTGATCTGTGACAACTGCGTGCAACATCAGAATAATGACTTGTAGGCCCTCTGCAGTGAAGGTATGTATGTTTTAGGGATATATCAGGTGAAACCCCACACATCACACTTAACAGCCTTTTCCTACATACAGCTGGGATCATTGTTTCTCATGAATCACCTGTGGCTGTTTTAAAATCAAATATTTAATGGGCTGCATTTGGCTAAACAGGACTTCTATCACCTTGAGTGTTCTAGTTCAATACCTAATACCCATTTGTGCTTCTTCTGTGCAATCTGCAACTGCCTGGAAAACTTATTCTAAGATGCTGCCATGGAAACCACTCAGGAATTTGAATTCATGCCATCTGGCATATGATATTATGCCATTATATGCCTTGATTAGAGGGACAGAATTAGTTTATAGAGGGACATGACTTAAAATATCTTTACTGTATTTCTGCCTTCAATAATTTCCTGGGAGAGAAGTTCAAACACAAACTTTGCAAACTTTTCTGTTTAGGTTGTGTTGAAATACACATTTCTGTTATGTATTATGCATATAACTCTTTATTTTGGTAAGATCGGTATTGAAAAAACAATTATTTTGCACAACAGGTACGTGTACTTCCCATAAAGTAGATCTGTTTTCCACATTGATTTCTCAATAATGCCCGAGTTCCCTGTCAGTCTAGCCCAGGAGATCCAATCCTGAAACAAACTAACGTATAAAAAGTACTTTGCTTGCTGTGTCTTCATGGGGTTTTACATCAGCTAGCCAAAGCTGCTTTACTCGAGCTGTGACCAAATGCCTCTAAGAGTGCTGTCCACATGCAGCATGCATCTAGATCTGTGCTTGGCAGACATTTCTAAATTACCATCTGACACGGCTGGTGATGAGCAGTTTGTAACAGATATCTCTGGGATGAGGTACAGGAATTGAACGGTATCGGAGCTAACCAACAGCAGGTCTAGCAGCTTTGTTAATCGTCTCCTGTTAACCTGATGGAGCTTTGTTGCTGCAAACTAACTTTGGATTTGTTTGCACAGCTTATAATATAGCAAGGAGCCTCTAGAAATCTGCAACAGTCATCTCATCAGAAATAATCCAAATGGCAGCAGCTCAGAAGAGCCTAATTAGGGACCTGTTTGCCTTCCCCAGCAGTAACTAACCAGCCCCTCAGAAGGAGCTGCACAGAAGCCTGCAGCTCCAGCAGAACGCTGGCAGGAGCAAGAGCCAGCAGGGCTGCCTTGGAAAGGTGTGGCAGGGGGGATGAAGTGGTGCACTCAGAAAGCTTGACCTGCTCAAAAGGAAGGAAGGAAATGACCTGAAGAAACAAGCAATAGAAAAGAACTGCTGTCTGTGGCTGGATGTAAGGCTTCTGGGCTAGAACCCCAGGGACTCAAGGGCCTGGATTCCCTCCTGTTCAGCAGAGAAAAGGTGGTGGTGGAGGAGAGCTGACAGGCTTAGGGTGACCCAGGATAATTGGCTAGGCTCTGGACTTTGGGTTGGCGGTGTCTGCTCTGTGCTCTTCTCTGCTAATAAATCTTTGAGCTGAACTGGAAGACAAAGTGAAGACAGTAGAAATATAATGATACTGACCTGATGGGAAGCTTCAGTGCCAGGACTGGATGGAATTGTAAGCATAAGCAGTGCAACACGGTTCAAATTCTATTGCTGTGATAGCAATGATATATGAAAATGAGAACATTCATCTGAAATTGTCACTCTCTGTTATTTCAGATTTCTGTACATATTTACTATAATAAATATGAGGACTGTGAGGACTGGAGCCCCTCTGAAGAACCACTGCACTGGTGCTCAGAAACAACGATCTGTTTGGGTATACATCTATCATATCAGTGAAGACAGAAATTCTGGGTACTGCACTTGGGGCTTATTTCACATGGCCCCTGCACTGGCTCTTGATGGGTAGTCCAACCATAGCTGTTCTTTTTGATAAGTTGAAACCAAAAAGAAAAATTGCAGAGAACTGTAAATTCCCCAGGTAATATGCAACGGCAGCCAAACAAATGGTCATTCCAGGATAGCACCACGAGTACAATCATTTAACTCAGTACAAATGAAGCAGGACTATTAAGAGGGGGGAGAAGAGTGAAAGCAGTTGGTTAGTGACTGTTACAGGGTCTGCATGCTGGGAGGAAATCCAGTCTTATTAAAGTAATTCTGTTGAGGAAGAAACTGAGGCAACTGTTACATTACAACGGAGGTCTTTAGGAACTGACTCTACTGCGGAGCTTGTTTCTCTCCAGGAAGCGCCAGTTCCCTGCAGGAAGCACTAACTTGTCTGCAGCCTCATGGGTCCAAGTAAATTAATGACTTTAAAAAATAATAATAATACACTGGGGAGAATAATTTCAGCAGTTGTGGATGGGCAGCTGCACACTCCCATCTTGGTTGTACAAGCATTTTCTTTCAGTTGCGTATAAGTGGAAGCCACAGATACTACCTGACCATCCCAGGATGGCTCAGGAAGAAAATAGTACTAAATAAAGGGGCAAACCAGGTAGCCAACAGTTCCTGTCACGTTATTTTTGTACCATTGGCCCCAGCTCTGCAGTGTAAATGGGCCCCAACACCAGCTATTGGTACAAAGTTAAGAGATCTTAAGAGGAATTAAGCATTTGGTAATTTTGCATCTGCTTCCATCTTTGGACCAAAATGGCCTCTTTTAAGTTTTGGCCAAGTAACACATTATGGATATTGCTTTGATGTGCCAAAAGAAAAAAAGAAAAAAAGAAAAAAAGAAAAAAAGGAAAAAAAAAAAAAGGAAGGAAAGAAAGAAAGAAAGGTTCTGTGACACTTTGGTTTTCAACAAGGCAGGGGGAGTCAACACACATAAATCACCACGATTTAACAAATTCCACCATGCTCTGGAATAACATTTGCGACAGCTTTCTGGGGTCAGCAAATCATATTGCATGTGGTTCAGAATGTAGCTGGAAGTAATTGGTATGCTACCAGGCAGGGGTCACTCTCCAACCACAACTGAGACACATAGGAACAGGTTTCCTGAGCTTCCAAAAAGTCAAGTTCACAGAAGGGTCTTGCCAAGACACCTCAGTACCTAGCTGACACATTACTGTTTTTCTTTTGACAGCTTATCTGTCCTACAAGAAGTACTCAAACCCAGCCTGGAGTACTGGTTAATTCTGATTTAAAAATATATATATATTTACAAAATTGTCCATTTTGCTCAGATTACACTGGTGCACCTTTATTTAAATTTATACTGGCAATTACTACTTAAATGACAATACCGAGTTTGGTAAGTTAAAAATATTTGTATTACAAAAACTCCCAAGAGTAACCTTTTCCCACTGAAAGCTTTTTTTTTTTCCTTTTTTTTTTCCTTTTTTTTTTTTGGTAAAATAATTTTACAGCAACTCTTGGGGAAAACTTTTCAGTTGATTAAATCCTGCCACTCCTTCCCTCTCTCTGTATGTGATCCTCAACATCTTAGATGTGATTTTGAATGTTACCTGCTGGTAACAGTGGAAGCTTTGGCTTCTGTCAGGTTTTGCTGAAGGGATTACCTCTGACATCTGGGATGGGGTAACAGTCATCCTGGCTCAGCATCATTTGGAGAGGGAAAGCACTAGGAAGATTCGAGCAGTTCTGCGAAACACAGGCATGGTTCAGGTCTTTCAGACATGCAGAACCTGCTGCAGCCTGAGCTGCTGTTGTGAAAATCCGTGTTAGAAAGTGCCCGGAAATGCAATAAAGAGGTTTTTCAGTTTCTGTACAAAATTGATGGGCTTCCATTACACCAAATTAGCAGAGCAGATCCAGAAGAAAGAAATAATGATAATTTTTTGTTATGAAAGCATAGAGGAATTTCCCTCAGAAAGATACCTCTTCGTGGTATTTCATAAAGTCCCATATGGAGCAGAGGAAAATAAACACCTCTGGCAAAAATGCATTTTATAAATGCAGAAAATTCAGAAAAGCTCCTGGCAGGTAGTCAAGTCATATCTTTCTTTGGATGGTGGCTGATGTTTTAAACAAATACAGACTCATCCCATAATGTAATCTGTAGTGGGAAAACATTTAATACATTGTAGGTTTGGGGAGGGGGGGGTGTACGTCATATGTTCAGCTGGAGGGAGTGGTAGGAAAAGCAGCAGAAGGGTAATGTCCAGGGGAAGGCATGCTTGTGGCTAATCTGTTAGAGAAATTGCCCGGGGGTGCTCTAGTGATGTGAAAATCCATCATACTCTCGGGGTTAACAAGACTGAGGCTGACTGCCTGAGCGATGCTGCTGGTAGCACAGAACTTTAATTTGTACGCCCAATTGTTCTAATTTGTCAGGAGCTCCCTCTGAAGCATGCAGTAAGCCTCAAAGGAAACTGCTGGGAATGAATAGGGGAGGGATTGGAAATGTGGAGGGAGGCAATGTGCAGGCTTTTCATTCCCTAACAAAGGGTTCATCTTTGGGCAGTGACCAGCACCTCGGCTGCCACTTAGACTCAGCTCTTTGCGCACGGGCACAGACCTTCCCTCGTCTTTTTGGCTCTTGTGTCTAGTTAAGATGTGCCAGGAAGAGCACGGGAACACCGAAGAAAGCAGAATGGGATTCCTGATGTGACTTAAGTGCCCGCACTAAGAGACAGCCCTTTACAGATTTTTAAGTAATAAAAGGCAAGAAATTGCCTGATGTTACCAGAGCTGCTGAAAGGCAGTCTGCCAGTCAAACAGGGAGAGATACGGGTGTACAGCAAGACAGGATGAGACTAATTCTGTGTGAATGTGACTCATGCTGACACCGGCACAGGCACACAAAGGAAAAAAATGCATTTAAAGCTGCGTAGTTAGCCTGTTTGCCCCTTGTAGCAACACATGAAGAAATTACCTTAACTACACTGGAATCAAGAACGTGGGAATTGTCCTCTGAAATTCTAGTTAAAATTTACTCTAGGTGAAGGTTAGCACTGATCTGCCGAAATATGATTCAGTGACCACCAGCAGAAAATACCTAAGGAAGAAATACAAAGCTCGGTACTTAACAAGTCTAGATGACCCTTAGAAATACCTTGTTCCTAGAAGTACAGCTGCTATTGCTGTGGTCTGTAGCCTAACTGCATTGAAACTGCCCATCTAAAATATCAAAAACTTCATTCTGTAACACATTCTAATCAAACCTCACAGGTTCTTCTAACTAAAGTGTCCTTAATTCCTTACCTCCTGATTTTTAGGCATATTACACCTGCTTATAAGAAAATACACGAGTGTCTTCGCAGCCTGCGGTCTTTGCCCAAGAACCTAAGAATAGTATTTAATGTGAGAGACAAAATTTCTCTGAGGCTTTGAAGAGTCTGTAAACACAGTTATGAATCCATTCTTTTCCCATTCATTATTTTTTTACACTTCATGACTACCAAAGATGTCCTTTGTTTCCAAGTCAACATCATTTTTGTAACAAAAAGAGCTCCATAATAGTCTTTGATTCTGTTTTGGCAGAATTCAGCTTGCATCAAAGAGCTGTAATCTAAAATTTCCTTGTCTGAGAAGAATTACAGATGTAGCATTTGCAAATATGAACACGATTTTTGAAGTGCCAATAATTTTGTCCTAAAATTTTAGACAACCTCCAACTTGCTAGTTGAGGTACCCACACTTAAAATGTGATCAGTGTGGTTAGGTTCAGTGAACTATTAAATAATAGTAAAAATTATATTACGTTGGGGTAAATTAGCCCGAGAGGATTACATGATCCAGCAGACAGTCGTTCTCAGTTACCTGCACAGTTTTCACCAACATCAAGCAGCGGAGGTCCTGTGTCTTCCTATGCAAGGAAGATGACAGCAATGGGACTTTTACACTGGGAAGCACAGAGAACAACCTGTGCTGGTAGGCTTGAGCCTGTTGATCCGCCAGTCCCACAGTTCCAGCAGCCCACGGGGGTCGTGCTGCTGCTTTAACTTCGCAGCCACTGCTGCAGCACAGCTGCGTTAGCACCGTAGCCTTTCTTTGCCATGTTTAGCTCTGTCTGGAGATGCTGCTCCGAGAGACTAAAGACACTCTGAGCCTCTCGGAAGGGCTGCTCAGGGAGATGGATGGATTTGGGGGAGAGAATACAGCTTTAAGGCACAGGACAAAAGCATATATTCTGCTTGTATGGGGAAAACAGGGTCAGAGAGGAGAGGTAAATAAAATAAAAGGGCCCACATACAAGCTCTTGTATGGACAGTATCATGCTAAAGATGATGCAAATAAGCTAATTCGTCTTTTATGAGAAGCCCAAAAGCATTGGGAAGTGTTTAGTATGGACTGTCGGAAAACATGCTGATACTGACAAGTGAATCTAAAGGCGAGGAATACCAGCGTGTGTAATTAGAAATTTTGAACACGATGTTCTTCACTGAGTTTGAACACTTTTAGTTACCGGTTTGTTTTCTTAAGTTCCTGCATACTCATTATTTTTTCAGTGCAAAGGATCCCAATGACAGGGTAGACAAGTATCTGTCTTAAACAGCAATTTAACTGTCTGCTTAAGGGATTAAACTATTTGGGAGGGGTATTTTGAACACTCTCGCTGTTTAGCTTAAGCAATCAGGTACCTTCCTGAGCCATGCCAGGCAGAAACATCTTGCTTCCCTGGAAGAAACTAGCTGAACTTGACCTGAAATAAATGGTTCCATCAACAGAAGTCACACTTAAGGACGCCATGCAGTGACAGCTCCAGCACTGAAGCAGCCAAAGCACCTGCCTGAAGAGTTCCCCTCCGAATCAGAACCAGGACCGTGTAAGTGGCTCAGAAGGGAGGGAAGGGTGGATGGAAGCACAGAAATAACGCGGCGTTACTCACATAAGAGCTGCCTGTGCGAGGCGGTGATGTTTGCATTCCCATGCCAGAAGGGGTTGATCAAAGGGTAGCATTTGTTCCTAACTGATAAAGAAGGGGAAAAAGAAAAAAGCAAAGGACGAAAATGAAATATAGCAATATATTCTCTTCCTTGTGTGTGTGTGTGTGCATGCAATAAACACGCTATCATCTCCTTTGAAAACAGTTGTTCCTAGCAGGGAAGCAGAGGAGGGGATTTTCAGCGTCCTTCTCGTCTACGATGCCCATCGGTTACTCCACGCTCCTAACGCTGGAGTCAAACCCCAGATTAACTCCAGTGCCACAGCAACACGCCCCGCATGCAGTGAAGCTAAATGGGCAAAACCCTGCAACAGCCACGCGTGGCTGGGGGGTCCCTCGTTACAGTGCCGACCATCGGGGTCCCGTCCCGGGCAGCCACCTGCCCTTCTGCTGGACGGGGCTGCAGCGATGGGGTTGGGGCTGGGGTTGGGGCTGGGGTTGGGGTTACTGCAGCACGCACCAAGCACTGCGGTACCCGGGACACCCAGGGCAGCGCCCGGAGCCCCTGCACCCGGCACCCCCTGGCGATGCTGGGGGGAGAGGGGCGGGGCCTGTGGGTGCCCCGCCCCCTTCAAACCCCGCCCCCTTTGTCCAAGCCCCGCCCCCTTTGTTCAGGCCCCGCCCCCTCCCTCCGGCCCCGCCCCACTCACGCCGGCAGGTCCGCCAGAGCCCCGAGTGGGAGCTGAGCGCTGCGGTGCCGTTGGCGGCCGCCTCCAGGCGCGAGGCGTCGATGATGTACCAGAAGTCGGTGGCCATGGCCACTGCCAGCAGCACGAAGCTCGAGGCCCCCGCCAGCGCCAGCACCAGCGGCAGCGCGCCCAGCCCGCCCCGCATCGCGCCGCGGCGCGCGGCCAGCCCGGCACGCCCCGCCCCGCCCCCCGCCCCGCCCGGGACACGCCCCCTCCGCCAGGCCACGCCCCCCGCCGAGGCCACGCCCCCGCCGTGCCGGCCGTTCCCGCGCGGCGCCGCGCACGTGGTGGCGCGGGGCAGCGGCCGTCGGCGCCGGGAGCGGGGCGCTGCAAGCAGGCACAGCTTCATTCTGCGCCTTCACTGTCTCCTGCATCCCCGGGACGTATTCGTATTATGGGTAAGAGCCCGCCGAGAGCTGCAAACTGAGCAGCTGTTGCCACCAAGTAGCATTGAGAAGGGTGGGGGACAGAAGCGGTACAGAGTTTGCGGAGGAGGGTAAAATAAGTTTTGTTAGACCAACTGATCCAGTAAGGAGAAACAAACGAGCTTTGGGATGTCTTAGTTGGGACCTCAAGCTCATCTGTTTCCTCTAACCCTATTTGCAGTTTACTTGAAAGATTTACTTGGCCCTGCAAGCATCGTGTGCTGAGCGGGTGTTTTATCAGCGCTCTTCTCATAAACCTGCATCAGAGCCATTCGTATGTGAACCGTCACGCCGTTGTGATGATCAGCCATTGCCACCCTCATGTTAAAATCGGGGAGGCAAAGGATGTTACAGAGCAAAGCGGCAGGAACGTGCAGTCCACTTAGGTCCAAGCTGCAAATCGAGGATTTTATAAAGTGATCATCTGTGTCCTGGGCAGTTCTTTTCCTAATTTTGGTGCCACAAAGTTCTAGCTGTATGCTTATTTGTAGAAACAAGTTGTTTTAGTCATCAAAATATGCGGAAGCCCTTGTCAAATCTGTCTAGATTCACTTTACAGTAAACAAAAGCCAAAGCCTGCTAACTCCTGATCCTTTTGTGCCCAGACTGTGATAATAGAAAAGCTTATGTCCAGAATAAGTCAACTCTATGCAGAGATTTAATTTCCACGTCAGCATAATCAGATTAGGCAGTCATCCTTGTGCTGAGGAAAAATGAAGAAAGTCAGAAAAGTAAAAAAGTACAGTTCATCAAAATAATCTTCTTGTATTTGCCAGGAAAGGTTCATAATGAAAGGAAAAAGACAGTAGTACAGATTGGCTTCACCAGAGATACAATTTCCAATTTACCGAGATCTCTGAAAATAACACAAATTCCTGAAGTTATGCTAGGATTTTCAATATAGGGTAAGAGCTCAGATTTTAATATAGACTTACCTTTGTGGAAAAGGAGGGACACGCTTTGTTTACACAGACTAGCTATTGATTAGATCTGCTGACATCAACCTGCTATGCAAAATACCAGAGATCATTCAGAAAATGCTGCCAAATTTGCAGTCAATTAATAGCCCATGGAGTGCAATGTACCAAAATTAGCAGTCCTCTGGCCTGAATATACCAGAGCTTCTCTAAGTAACTTCTACCTCACCCTTTCTGCTTGCAAGATGACACTGCTGAAGGATTCAGGGTGTGTTCTGCTCTGAAGCCCTCAGCATGGCTTCCCAGGGCCCTCATTGGGCAAAATGCATCTAGATTGCAGTTCCTTCTCAGATGCTCTGATTCTATATTGTACTGGTGCAGCAGAGGCCCCAACCCAGTTATTTTCATAGATTAACAGCTAAATCCAAAAAGTTATTTGAGGTAAAGCTGCTGAGGAAGTGCTGTGCTAACTCACTGTGTTACTGCTGGAAACGAGTGATGAAAGAAAGGCAGAGACATTGATTTGGCACCCTGTGGCCAGTCATTCTGGAACTTCTAAATGGTTTACTGAGTATGAGCATTTTGAGTAGGAAGCAGCATGTTATTAATTCCATTATAAACATGTTTGCTGTCGGCGAAACATCCACCTTGTGTCTGGACTTAAATTCTATCTGGTCTTAAAAGAGCCATTCCTCTCATAGGGTCAGTGTTTATCTTTTCAAACCGTATAAACTATCCATGTAAGTTCAATAATGGCTTTTTAGGACATTTATCAAAACCTTTGTTTTTTAATAAAGGCTCTTAGACGATAAATTTCTCAGTTTTCCCTAATGTTTATTGTATTTCCTCTACTCTGTATTTGTGAAAGAGATGTTTGATATACTTACAGTAAATTATATGAAAATCTGTTTCTCACAATGTTTACCCATATGACTGCAAAAAAGGTAAAAGCCAGACACCATAAATGTGCACCAATGAATTTAAGTAATTCCACCAAAACGAGTAATGCCAACTCATCTGGCATCATTCAGAATCATTGCCCCAAGTCATGAGCTGCAGGGTTCCCTGCCCTGCAGGTATACGGAGATCACAGCTGGGGGCTCACATGAGAGGGAGCAGAAAGGCAATCAGAGGTTGTAAAAACAAGTAGTGTATAGCAGCAAATCGGGATTGATATTCAGGTTCAACAAACATCAGTAACACTATGGCAGTGAATAGACTTAAAGATTATGAACTTACCAATGCTGTAGCAGCGAATATGCTTGTGGTGGGTTATAGTTATCAAGACTACACATGCAGTAGGTCATGCTTCTCAGTACTGTACTTATGACAGGCTATGTACGTGTATATACGTATTCATCTACATATTCACCAGAACCAAATGCAGCAGACTGACCCCAGAAGCGGGGGCAAGGTCATACTGACCTCAAAGGGTGTGATTTAAAAAACAGTCTCAGAGGAGACTGACCACCCCCAGAAATGGGCCCAGACATGGGACCACAGTAGCGTTCACAGTCTCACTTCGAAGCTGAACCATGCCACGTTGTGTAGAGCATCAGAGAGCTGGGAGTCAGTCTCAGGCTCTTTTTATTTCAGAACCACACAACAGGACCCAAGCTCAGAAAGATTTTGAAGCATTTACAAACTAGAAGACAAAGTTAAAACTTAAATCATGTTTTTCATTTCACTCACTACATGTTTAACTCCATAATATATTAGAGCAAAAAATGGAAAGAGACTTCACAGTATTGACGTTATGAGCAAGAACCAGTTGCACAGGTGTTATATGGCTTCTTTGAAAAACCCTATGCCTGTTCTTGGGAGAAAACATTGGTCCATCTCCATTGCTTCTCCTCCCTGTATTCAAACCAGGAACCTGATCTGTGGTTCCTAAGGACATAGTCATTTCATTGAGACTTGAGAGGATGCAGCACACCACCACTTCTGATGACTAACAGATCTTGTTACTTTCCATCTTCCTCCTGAGACAGCTAGTAAATGATGATATTTCTTATTTTCTTTCATTTTCTTAAGTAAAAATTATATTTTCCCAAACTGATCCATCCTTTCTCAGACAATAAGCTGTTGCTCAGTTTCTTGCTTTGCCCTTATCGATGGTATCTGTAGGATGTCTCCAGTTCTCAGGATGTCCCAGCTTCCCAAGCCGAAGGCTGAGTTCCTAGGCCTGGTTCCCAGCCTGGCAGATGTATCTCCTGTCAGTGTTCAGCAGCTGTTTTAAGTCACTATTTTCTCATGGTTGGGTTGTCTTCATAACTGCTGCCATCACGAGGAAATGTCCTATTTTGTCTGCTATCTATTTTTTTTCTTGGCTGAGGAATTTAATAGAAAAAGAGTTTATTATTCAGCATTCCAGTAAAGCTAATTGAATTCTGAAATTTATTCTTGTTTTAAGCTATTAAAAGGTTACAGCAATTACTTCCTCTGTGATTAAAAAGAGAAAAGCTAAAGGCAATGTATGGTATTACAATTTTTAGAGTTAGTGTCCTTTGAAATTACTAGCTTTTGTCTGATTGATCTGAGGTTTGACCATTACTTCTCAGATTTAATCTTTTTCGTGCAGTTGTACACATTCATTTTTTTGAACAGCCTCAGGCTGCAGTGAATTTAGAGGGCAGGCCAGTCAGAATTGTATCTTTGACAAGAGAATACAGGGCGTACGTCGCAACGTCCTCACGCCTACTCAGTATTACCTGGTCTGCCAAAGAACCCATAGTGTAGTTATGTGGTATTGAATTAAAAGGGTAATTATATGAGGGACATGGCTGAAGTACCCAGCACAGATTATTGCAACCAATTAATCTTTTTTCAAGTCTTGCTGCAAATTGTTCTGTTGAAAAACTAGTTACTGAGGTTACAGTAGGAAGGGTAGGTAACTCGTTCTGAGCCAGCTGACCGTGGCATCCTCATCTGCTTGAAAATTCTGTAGTGCTGCACAGATTGTATCCCGTGATCTCATCTGCAACAGATTCTAGCAATTTTATTCTGAAAATTGCAGCAACAAAAAATTCTGTAGCATCACCTATCATTTTGCTTACTGTCTGCTAGGGAAGAATCTTCTGTCTATGCAGAGACAGCATCATCCATGTCTAAATGGAGGTAGATTAATAGTATCTCTACAGAGATCTCTTACCAAGCAAGAATATAGGTTTCTAAACTTTTTTTTTGGGGGGGAGGGGGGTGTGGGGGAACATCATCTTTCTAGTTACTGATTAACATATCCCATAGGCTCTGGGTCAATAAAACATTCCAAAAAAAAGCATATAACTTCAAATATGTGTACACTGATAGTAATTCCATGATCAAAACCCAAATGAGACTAAAGTCTTCCAGAAGCGTGACTGTGGAATTATTTGCTGGAAGTACACTGTGAAGGTAGAAGTCAAGTTATGCTGTTCAAGGCTTCCCATTGCAGGGAGCAGCACTTTGATCCCAACAGGATATATGCTTTTATTTGCGCAATGCCCTAAGACGATAGGTCTGCCAGGACCTTGAAGAAGTGTGCCATGTTAGTTTACATCACAGTGGTTTCCCAAAGGAGAAACCTGTATGTTTCTGAATTTAGTCACATAATGCTTAGGCATCTTCCTTTGGACTGGGGTGAACTTGAGTCTCGAGCCTTCCTGCTTTCACTGTGTGAGAATGGAACGTGGGAAGGCTTTGGCTATCCATGCTTACACTTGGTGATGCCATGAAAAAGACTGAACTAAAGAATCTCAAGAGGCTGGTTTAGGTAAGCTTTGTAGTTAAGATTTTCCAAATACTTCTCTGTTTTCAGGCAGTACAAAATGCTCAATAAAGAGATTAGTCACATCTCATCCTTTTTAAAGTCCTTAAAGCCCCCAAAAAATACCTTTTTTATCTAGCCTTTCTTTGAATAGACAGATGGTAACTGTAAGCATGCAGGACAGTTAATCCATTGCTCTGAACGTACAAAGCGTTAGCTCAAGTATGTGAAAGAAAAGCTCCTGGTTTAGGCACTCTACTTCTAATCCTACCTAACCATAACAATATCTGAAAATGATCTCCTTGTTGTTGTATTGAATATAAATTTTTCCAACATTTTCTTCTTTCATTTTTGATCTCCAGCACTGTAAAGGACCCAAACCTCAATGCTGTTTTTATATGTCACTTCTCCCAGTTTGTAGTAAGGCCTCCAATTCACCTCAGTCCCCAGAGATAGCAGCACTGTTCCCCCATGGTGCATCCCAGCTTAAATGCTGTATTTAAACATATTAAAAAAAAAAAAAAGTAGTCTTGAGCCTCAAATCACTCAGTTACTCATGAAAGATGCCAGACAAAAAAGATACGAGTATTGATAATAAAAACAACAGCCTTCCTCATTTCTCTCCTCTTGCAAATTGTGTGCTCTGGAGATGAATTTATGGAGCACTGAGTTGAACGCTGATGTGACCACACACAAAGTGCTGCATAAAACCCTGAGAAACACAATTTGATCTACTGGAAATTGTAGAAAACACAAAGTAAAAAAGGAAGTTTGTGTTACTTAATCAATCAAGGATTTATTTAGCATGCGAAGCAGAAGTTGTGTAGCTTTTAAGTGTATTGAGCTGGTACAACAGGTGCTGATAACCCGAAACACTGAACAGGGACAGGCCTGGCATGGACAAGTAAGTTCTGGAAGACTGGGTATCAGGGCACAACACAAAAGCATGGCATGCTAAACAGAAATAGCCCATCTGTCCCAACAGAAGGAGTTTAGATTGCAGTCTCTGTGGGCAGCCTGTGCCAGGGCTCTATCATCTGCCTGGTACAGAAGTGGTGCTGGTGCTCAGAGGGAGCCTCCTGTGCTCCGGTCTGTGCCCACTGCCTCTGGGCCTGGCCCTGGGCACTGCTGAGCAGAGCCTGGCTCTGTGCACCCTGTGAGAGATCCCCGAGCCTCCACTTCTGCAGGCCGAGCAGGCCCAGCTCAGTCAGCCTCTCCTCACAGGAGAGGTTCCCGTCCCTCCATCGTCTGTGTGGCCCTTCCCTGGACTCTGTCCAGTGTGCCCAGGTCTCTCTCATACTGGGGTCCCAGCACTGGGTGCAGCACTCACTGAGCTGAGGGAAGGATCGCTTCTCTATCTGCTGGCTCTGCTTCAGCTCCATAACAACAGCATTCACAAACAGTGTATTAGCTGAAGTTTCACTTTCCCTGAATCTGCAGAACTTGGAATTTTCTATTATTCCTCCCATTGCAGGCTTTTCTACCAGTCATAGTCGCAGTACTGCAAAATCACAGTGTGTCACTTCAGCTATTCTTCATCTGACAGGCGTGCTAGCAAAATCCTTTCTTTTTGTGTGACGGTATTGCAAGAATCTTTTCAACCAGGAATATCAAAGTAAGAATCTTGCTTTTACATTTCTAATGAAGAAGTACTGTTTTGCTTTGTAAATTGATGTGTTTCAGTTGAATTTGTTTTTAAATATTTTTCATACATGATTAACTTAAATTGAGAAAGCAGCTGGAAGATGACTTTTTATTTCTGAAAGCATAAATGCCTCTGTTTCCTTTTATGATGTCTTTAGGCTTAGAATCAAGTCCATTAGACAGGCCATTAGCAGGTTCATAGTTGTCCTTGAGCTCCGCATCAGGCCAAACTAGACAGAATTAATTTGATTCTTCTTTGTTCTGATTTTATTTTTGGTGTTGGGATAGTTTTGTTTTGTGCAAATGCTTTATCATAGGCATATTGTTAAGTTTATGGACAGCTTCACTTATTTATTGCTTTGGCTTTGTTATTCCTTCAGCTTCCCCGGTAAAAAATACAAATGCATTTTCCATTCATTTGCACTGTAATTTGTATTTAAAATGAAATATGCCTTTGCACTTGTTTATACTACTAGTTCAAACAGATAAGCTAACAGCTGCTAGAGAGAGATGGACATGCAATGTTCATAAAGAGAAAGTTCAGAATTGATAAATCTGGTAGAATGAAATGGGTATCAAGGTGACATTATCTTATGATGAAAAAATTCATATAGGCTAAACTGAGTCTTGGCTGCACTGCAGCAGGAACAATGGGGCAGATAGAGAGCAGGTGGTATGTGCTGTGACACGTAGCGTTACCGGCTTCGGGGCTAGGCCTGGAGACATCTGAATTAAACTGATTAATACATACAAGATTATGGAAACCAAACACTAAGCCTTCGGTCAGGGAAGGTTTGCATCTCAGTTGGATGCATAGTGGGTAGGAGGCAGAGACAATAAAGACTACACATGATGAGCATCACAGTATTCTCTGATCCATTTGTTACTTCTTTTCTCTTTCCACTGGACTGATGATTTTTCAAGCCATGTTTGTCTAAGCAGGTATTTGTTAGGGATCTAGTAAAAGCTTAGGCACAGATAAGATACAGCTACTTTGAGTGCTTTTTTTGTGTATAGCTCTTACATGCTGAATAATTTATCCTCTCTTTGCTGTGCATTCTACGGTGCACGTTTAAGTTGGCTGCGTTTGATGTAAACAAGTAGTGAAAACTAATTCCACATATCTCCTTTCAACAGCACTGGTATAGTAGGATTGAAAGGATGGGGGCCGATGTATTTCTTCTTCCTGACAGCCTTCAGTTTGGTTTTGGTTTTATTTTTTGTTTTTACTGACCCGATGAAAGCACTGAATGTGTTTCTGTCTGCTAAGCATGTAATGAAAGAAAAGAAGACAAGCAAAGAGACAGTACAGTAAGTACTGGAAAGATATCATCAGCCATCAGGGATAAACTACTGAACAGTACAAGATCAGATAGATTTATTTGTAGTGATAATTCGTCTGGTTATTTCTGTCTTAGAATCAGCTCTGTTCTCTTACACATTGCTAAGCAATTAGATTTGTCCCGTGATACATATTTTTCAGGGCTGTCTCTGGTTTTCCTCTTCTCTGTACCTCGTGCAGCAGTGCTGGTGTTTCAGAAGGCATCCTGCAAGGACATTGTCCTATCAGTCCTATGGGCCATGAAAGGTTTGGGCAAAAACGGGATGCTCTGGGGTTGCCTTCTGTAAGCAAACTCCTAGTTCATGGGGCTGCGAGGAAGACATAAAATTGAAGTGCATCTTAGTCTTTTACAAAATAAGTAGATCTCAGGAATTTGAAATACAGTTCAGGTTCTTGAGATCCTCGTGACTGTAAAACAAACCAATTTGGCAGCTTGAATTTTGAGAGTGAAATTCTTGTGGCAATTCCTGGTGCTCTTCTAATCACAATATGTGTTGTGGGCAGGAGTAGCAATAAACATTTCCAAGACTTGCAGTGGAAAAATAGAGCTTTTACTATGTGTAACTATGTTAGAAACCAAGTAGAGCTACATTAGCAAGACTGTAAGCTGTACTGAACATGAGGATCCTTGCCTACAAGGATCAAATAATGAAGCTAGAATCAAATTCATGTGCCTTGTAGCAACTGAAAATTGAAGAGATTCATTGTTAGACACTGCCATGAAAATGGTGAGGGAAGATGCAAACAATGTTACTAAAGAGAGAAGGTTTTTATTTTTAAGACACGGGAAAAACAAGTATAATCCCTATGAAAGGAACAGTGCATCTTGGGCCTGTGAGCTTCATGCACTGTCTTCACGAGCGTTTCATTGTCACTCATGCTGCTGTTCCACACCAGCAGTTCATGACTAAGAGTAGAGAATGGCAATGGAAATTAAAGGCAGCTAGTTTTCATTTTGCTTCTGGCAGGGGTAGCCTGGTCGGGGGCAAAGTACAGCACTGGGAGGAAGTGGGAGCCAGAAGTTTCGAGTGGATGCAGATGAGGTCATTTTGGTTGGGCCATTCTGAGTGATGACTGTAGTGAGTTCAGCGACTGTAGCTGTCCTGCTGGGAGTAGAAATTATGAGCCAGAGCAGGGAAAATGTAAGAAGAAACATGACTTTAATTTTTCTGTCACCAGATGTGGCCAGCCCAGACTTTGCCTTCCCTCCCACACCTCTCAGAAAAGGTAAAGTTTTTATAAACTAAATACCTTTACCAACTTCAAGGAGTTGTTGAGGTTGCTAAGTTATTACTACACATCTGCTTTGCTTACAGAAGTGCACACAGCCAAAATCTCACTTCGGGGCGTGTCCTCATAACCTTTATGCTGCAATGGAGAGGGAGGATGAGTGTTGAACCCATCTGCCTTCTGCTGTGGGGCATCCCTTCAGAGCTTCACGGGCATTTCTTGGTCTGAAGCTTTCCTCTTTTTTAGGTGTATCCCTGCAGCTGTTACCAGCCCACAGCTCCTACTCATCCATGGACTGCCTCGTTGCTAAAGCCCTCTTGTGTGTAGTCCAGAAACTGCATCTGCACAGCTGGATTGTCAGCTAGCTGTCAACTGCATTAGAATGTCTGCAACCACACTGGCTCCTTTAAGACCTTCTGCAGCCATGAGCTATTCCTGCTTTGCCTAATGATATTATCTATGTGAAACAAGGTAATTGCATTTTTTAGAAAATAAATTATAACAGCTCCATTTGTCATACAATATGCTCTTGTGTTTAAAACACCTCTGTAATGGAGCAAATCGCCTAACTGTTTAACTGCAAACTACAAACTTTGTCTGCACACCAGTAAAGTATCTCTTACTACAAACTGGTAAGATTTTGTGACAAATATCTGCCTTGTCTGCATGTTGTTAGTGCTTTATAGCAGTGGAGAATATGCCAGCAGAGAGAGACTGCAGTAATAACTTAACTGGCAGAGTATCACCACAGGAAGCAAATAATATTCTGGTCTTTCACAGGAGCCAGACAAAAGGAAAACAAATCTCTGAAGCATTTTGTCAGATATTCACCCACAGACACTCCAAGGAGAGGTCTGAATGGCTCACAGTGTTTTCCATTTCATTACCACTTAGACTGTAAATACAGGGAAAGATTGCTACACTCTCCTAATAATTCTTAGTCTTTATAAATAGATGCAAATAACAAGAAACAGAAAGACGTCTAAAAATACAGACTTTGCATTACATTCCAAGTTTTTTCTAAGAGTATTGATTTTTTAAAATCTTTCTTTGTTACGAGCACCCACTCAAGAAAAATACAAGGATCATGCGTAGCAACTCTATCATAGTATATAGTATCATATAGCAAGTAATTAATATGTAAATGCCTGCTTTTGAGCCAGGTCCTCCAGCAGTTAAGATAGGAACAGCTAGACAAGCCCTTGAAGAGGAACTGAGCTAGAATCCAGATAGGAGTTAGAGCATAGCTATGCCTGATGCTGCACAGAGACTGGGAACCAGAGGTGTGGGCAGCCCGGCCACCACAGCATGTGGCACCCACAGGCTGCCAGGTGAGAGCAGCCTGTCCTGGGCCGTGCTGTGCCTGTCCTGGGCCCTGCTGTGCCTGTCCCGGGCCCTTAGACCCGAGGTGTGGGTAATAGAAGCCGCTGGTCAGCGGGTGCCTAACGCTGCAAGTTGCCTACATCTCTGACTAGTTTCCCCAAGTGCTCTGGCACAGTGTTCCTGCTCAACACCTGACTCGGGCTTCTTTATTTTACCCGGCTCATTACACCTGGTGAAAACTTTGGGATTAAGCAAAGCTCCTGCCTCCAGTCAGTGCACGGCTGCGGCTGTTGCTCCATCTAACCCCACTGCAGCAGCAGCTCTGACACCCTCCGGCTACAAAGCGCTCTGCCCGCTTGCCCCTTTGGTTTTGTTCTGTGAAGTTTCTGCATGGAGCTGGGTATGAAGCGAGGCAGCGTAGCTCTGAGCCAGGTAACTAACGGCAGTGGGGAGCGTGGGTTCACTGCCTAAGCGCTGCGGCTGCTTTAGGGACTGACAGAACTTTGCTGGCGTCTCCTTTTGCCAGCGTGCCGCACCCCACCTCGGGCTTAGCGCTAATTACAGAACCTCTGCGTGCCTGCGAGGGGCCAGCGCCTGCCGCAGCGCAGCGCGAAGCCACCTCAGCGTTTGCTGTGAGGAGCCGGGCAGGGCTCGGGAGCGGGCACGAACGGCCCCGGCAGTTCCTCAGCGCCTCGGTGGCCTCGCGTCAGCTGCGCGCCGGAAGGGGCCGGCGGCTCCGCCATGGCGGCGGGGCCCGGGCTGAGGGAGGTAGCGGGGGGCGGGAGGGGGCCGTGAGGGCCGAGCCTGCGGCTCCGGGCGTGGGACGCGGTTCTGGGGTGGCGTCTGCGGCTCGGCGGCGCTTCGCGAGCCCCCCGCCAAACGCCCGGTTTGGGGCGTGTGGGGAAAGAAACGGCGCCTCTCGCCCCGTGTGCCCGGGGGGTCAGGCACCCGCTCGTGCCCCAGCGGAGCTGTGGGTGTGAGGGAACGAGGGGAAATCCAGAGCGCCGGGATGGCAGGCACGGTGCCTTACCTGCTGGTTGGCAAGCTGTGTGCTCAAAGTCATTTCAGTGAAGACTTGGCTTTGTCAAACTGTACATTAACACTTGCTTTTTCATGGGTGTGTTAGTTTTTAAGACTAGCTAATTAGCAGCTCTACTACCTAAAGTACGTGGTATCTGCCAGCAAGCTGCAGGTGGCGGTACAGTGGAGCATTGCTAATGAGAGCATTGAAGCGTTGCAACTTTATAGTCCAGTGAAACCGTATTTTAATCTTCTAAAATGCTGCTGGAACAACGCTATATAACTAAAAGCTGTCTGTATTTGGTTTTAGGTTGAATATCCAGATTCACAACTTGCTGTCGTATTGGAGCATGGGGGAGCTTGCACGACTGCAGCTTGCATGAGCTCTTCTCAGCACCTGCGCCGTGAGGTTGTCTCGCCGAGCAGAGCTGCTGCCTGATGCCCACTGACAGAAACTATTGGGTCTCTTCGTGACAGCACTGCACAGGAAGCTGGTTACTGTAAATGTGCCTCTCACCAGCATATCATGGGAGATGTGACAGAGAAGGAGATGGATAACCTCACGTTCAAAAGTGACACTGTGCTTTCTGACGTTCACATACACTGTCCAAACAAGAGACATCTCATGGTACGGTTGAATGCAGTTGGACAACCAGGTAATGTGTATTTAGACTGATGGAACTGTATTTTAAGTATATTTGAATATCTTTGTAATGGCTGAATCCTCTTTTGAATGGTTGATAGTAATCAGTACATATTTTGCTCCGGCTAGAAGCAGAATTGCTTCCTGCTCAGTCTTTAGGAAGAGGGCTAACTGGATTGTCCTTGTGAAATTAAATACATAAATTAAAACTATTAATGTGGAATTTGTAGACAACCCATGTTAAAAAAAAAAAACAAAAAAACAAAAAATACAAGTTACTTTCTGAGAAGTAACCACATTAACCTTCATGATGGCTTAATTTTATTTATCTGTAATCTCAGGACAGCACCTTGGGAATCATGTTAAAAAGTTAGGATGTTTCTTGCATGTAGACTAAAGCTGAGAAGCTATTGGTTTTAAATATTATCACTTAAAATAAAAAGATAATTATTCATGATTTCTATAAAATTTTTAAGTGATGATTTACCATTTGTTCCAGAGGAACCTAACAGCTTATTTATTTATTTGTTTGTTTGTTTATATGTTTGTTTAAAAAAAAAAAGCAATGACAAAGCTCAGTATAGCAATGGACTCACATTAGCAATGGCTTGTATAATTTGAAGAGTCAAGGCCATAGTGGAAATGAATCGACAAATGAATGCCTCTGCCAGTTTGTGGGCTTCTGTAAGGTTGTCAGGGAAAATGACTTTGAAGCTGTTACTAAAATGTTCTGCAGAAAAGTATCTCTTGTGCTGTGACAAAAGTGTTAATTGTTTTTCAAACCTAGTTGAGACTTTACAAATAAAAAAATCTTGCAGTTATTCTAGTGCATGCTAATGTAAAAAAAAAAAAAATATAAGAGACAAGAGGGTCAAAAGGCTTTCCAAGGAAGTAGAAACTAATTATGACCTTGATCAGGTCAAAATCAGGTAGTTAATGCTGTGATGTGTTGTCACAATGACTAGCATTCATTTGCTGTGATGTGAAGATCCTTTCAACACAACAAAATGAGAGTCAGTGCTGTGTACTCTGAAATAAAGGAATTTTCCAGGTCAGAACTGGATTGTAGTGTGACAGCTTTAACTTAACAAATGTGACAATAGAACTTCATACACTGTGGAGCTGTTGAAAGCAATAGTGGCAATTGGTTTCCCTTTGATAAGAATAAAAACAATTGTAAGAAATTCTTAGAATCCTGCTGGTATTGACCTTTTTCACTGGTCATGTTCTTGCTTAAAAAAAAAAAAAAAACGTGGTAGCATGTCAGTATGTTCAGCCTAAGCTGATACGAGACAGCCTGTTTGTGCTGTCTCATTCTGCTTTAAGCTGATTTTAAGGTAAGAAGTTAGGTGAATCCCAAAAGACTTTTTAAATAGTAAAAGAAATTCTGTTTACTTTTTACTAGAACATGTTAGTTTCTTTTACAACAGGAATTAAATCAACATAAAGATACAAATTGTAATTTATGATATTAATTCTTTCAACTTGGTTTAAGCTTGTCTCAGCAGAAGTTCTCTTGAAGGATGTAAAAAAAACATTCCTTTTCCCAGTTGCTAAAAGAGGTGTTATTATATCAGGTGAAAACATAAACTTGACTGAGTAGATGTTGAGTCAACCAGTAGACTGTGGAAGTGCTTCATTTATTCCTACCGTGACAGAACTTAGTAGCAGAAATATTTCTTCCTAGCAAATAGAACTATATTTCAATATACCTGTATGATTTGCAATCTTCTATATTTTTATAATACATGAAATGCATATCAAAATGTCATGCATCTGGAAATTGGCCTACAGATTCTGTTCTTACCTAGTGCTAATCTTCATATTCTTCTTCCTCCTGCTCTGTGTTCTTGCAGTATTCCTGTCGCATTTCAAACTCCTTTGGAACACAGACAATTCGGCATCTGAGAAATCTGGAAGAGAATCTACAGCTGAAAGAGAACACCAGTACAGCAGTGGAGATGAACTGTGTGACAAGGACAGGAATAATCTAAAAAATGAAAGGGAATCGAATACTGAAGGACTAGAAGCTCTGCTGGATGATGATGGAGACTTGGAAGTGGTCAGAAGACCTCGAAGCACTTCTGATTTAGAGGCGGAGGATCTTTCAAGGGATAGGGTATATCCTGTAATTCTGATGAAAGGGAAAGAAGATGCTTTTGAAGACGAAGAACAAGAATGCACTTGCACTGATGTTGTTAAAATAGGTAAATAGTAAGCTTATGTTCAAGGAGAGATGGGATAAGTATCTGTTTGGGTAAAACAAAAGAAAAATAGCTCTTATAAATTAAACAAAAGTAGTTAAGTGAAAGGAGATAATAAACCAAACATAATACTGTGATATTGTAAGTATTTTAAAAACAAACTGCTTTTCTCCAGAAGTGATTTGGGCAGTAGCATACCATAGGGGAATGGTCCTACTTCACTAGAGTGGGGTCTTCTGCATTATCTAGCATTACTATTTAAAATGAACAGTGGTTAGTTCTAGATTTAAAAGGGAAGCATGAACTGACTTTTCAAATTTGCTACTTCCTATGGAGCTTGATTTGAACAATGTTTTAAAACAATTATTTCTGCTCCTTCTCCATTTTCTCAGAGCATACTATGGCAACCCCCTTAGAAGATGTTGGAAAACAAGTAGGTATTGTACCTTGTATTATCTTGCTGTTCATGGATTGTGCTTCAGAATGTGCCCAGTGTAACTGCATCTCTTATCTGAAGGTCTGGCGTGCAGCTTTTCTTCTTGCTGACTACGTTCTGTTTAAACGGGACATGTTCAGGTGTTGCACAGTACTAGAGCTTGGAGCTGGCACTGGAGTTACAAGCATTATCATGGGAACAGTTGCCAGCAGAGTTTATTGCACAGGTAAGGCACTTGCTTTTAATGAAATATTTTCATGAAGCTCCACAAAGCAGTATTTTCATCCTGGGATTTTCATCCTCATCTATTCTTTTTTTAATTAATAATTTGTTATCAATGTGTATAAAATTGTGTTCATTGAAAAGTAGCAATAACTTTCACAACAGGATGAAAAAGCAGTAATATTTCTAGGTGCAAGCATTTAAAA